TAGAGGCAAACGTTTATTTCCGGGCTCCTGCTTCACGCGGTGAGGAAGAAGTTCCCAGGGAAGAACTTCCTGCCTTCCTCCCTCAGCCACCCCTGTGTCCTCCTCCCCATGGGAGCAGTGTTACGCCATTAAAAGATTATGTTACCATTTTCCTTCTGTCAACCAAATCCAGGTTAACAAACAAACCTTCAGCACCTTCTCTGTTACCATTTAATCTTCATATATTGTGTCAAGCACTTGCAACCCAGAAATCAATAGGGACATGCTGGCCTTTGAAAAGTCCATGATGTGGTGAGTTCTGAATCCCTCCCATTCCCCTGGATTTGGGGTGGGAGCACCCCCTATCTTATTTTACCTATTCCTAGTGGGTTGTAACTCCACGATCCTCCTTCCACCAAATTATAAATTATCTCGGCATCTTGTATGTGCTACTTCTCTCCACGCTGTCCACAAACATGGATTATAGACATGTTGCCTTGATTTCCTCCCTTAAACAATCCTTACACCAAACATTGGGAGTGAAGCAGCCCTGACCAAATATGCAAGGGAGGGAGGAGGGTGCATTGTTCAGGCCTCTGCAGCCTGTGCTGAGACCTGCAGCTGTCCTTCCTCACTCCATCCCCACTTTGCACTCTATTATGTACAACACCCACCTATCTAACAGAAGAGAGAATACAGTGGGGCCTTGACTTACGAGTTTAATTCGTTCTGAGACCGAGCTCGTTAAGGAGCTCGCAACTCAAATTACTCTATCAACTCAATGCAAAAAATCGGCCGAGAGACAGCTGGTATCTCAAAAAACTCATTAGTCAGGACACTCTTAAGTCAAGGCTCCACTGTATTATACTGAACTGAACATTCACACCCCTTAGTTTCAACACTCACAATGAGTCCTTTCAGCTGTACCCTCATCCACTCCTCCTGTCAAGATTATGTGCTGCAAAGCAAACTCCAGATTTCACTTAATCCACAAATGTTCATCATGCATTTCTAAAAGAAGGTCTTTTAGCCCTAGCTGGTTTGGCTCAGTGGATAGAGTGTCGGCCTGCAGACTGAAGGGTCCCAGGTTTGGTTCTGGTTAAGGGCACATGCCCCAGTTGCGGGCTCGATCTCCAGTAGAGGGCAGCAGCCAATCAATGATTCTCTATCATCATTGATGTTTCTATCTCTCTCCCTCTCCCTTCCTCTCTGAAATCTATAAAACTATATTAAATAAATAAATAAAACAAAAAAGAATGTCCTTTAAAGGCCTAATCACCATACCAGTACCCTTTTAAATATAATTAACAGTAATCCCTTAATATCAGTAAATATCAAGCCAGTTTTCACACTCTCATGGTCCTTCTTCTCTCGCATCTCACCCTCTGCCCCCCACCCCTTCCTTTCTCACATCGCACCCTCCCAACCCCCCACTTCCACCCTTTGGGCTTCTTCTTCTTGTGGCAATGATAGAGACCCATATAACAACTGCCCCATTGGGCACAGTAGGCACAGTGCCTATACCCCAGAATATTTTTAGGAGCTCACAAAAAGATGATTCAGTTCTTTTTAAATGAGAAAACAATGGACATTTAGTTAAAAATGCTTTCATATATAATGTGAATATGTCCATCTTTATACCAATGCAATCACAAAATATAATTTTAACTATTATTTAAAAAAAGAAAAGACCCAGAAAGGCAAAAGTGCCCAGGGCCTGTGAGCACCCTGAGGCAGCCCTGTACCTGACTTCTCCTTTTAGGTGCTCCAAAGGCGTCCTCTAATTTAAGTTCCAGAACTGCACACACAAGTCTCCATTCTCCTCTCCCAGGGTTCTCTACATCCGCGAAGGGCTCACTGGTGTGTAAGTAAAGGTCACCCAAATGAGCACACACCAGGCTGTGTACTCAGAGCTTGCTTATGAAACAAGATTGGGAGTTCACTGCCATCACTTGAATTTGACGGGCCTCAAAGGCAGACCGAGGAGCGGGAAAGCTCCACAGTGCGGCCAGGGCAGCAGGATCTGGGATGCTCTGGTGAGAGGCTGTTGATGGGGAAGTTAGAAGTGGGCTAAATAGAAGCAGGGAATCTTATGTGACTGGCTAAAGGAGTCTATATGGCTTTTTGTTGGCACTGGGGGCAAAAAACAGTCACCAAGAAAGACCATTGACCAAATCCCGGGCATTCTGGGCTGACTGCTACAGAGGATGTGAGTCTACTGTCACGTGTGGCCTGGCCACTGTCCATTTATATATTCAAGCGCTCAAAACCAATCTTGTTTCATAAGCTAGAAGTCAGGAATTACCTCTCCACCTTCCACCCAATCCATCACCAAACCCTGTAAACGTTTCCCTCCCACATATTTCTCAAGTCTGTCACTTTCCATCGGCACCAGGGTGCCACCTAACTGCCTTCACCTTTCATCTGATCTGCTAAATAGCCTCCTAACTTGGTCTGCCTACCTCCACTGCCTTCTTCCCAATTATTTGTCAAAGTAGTTTTTTCAAAAGGCAACCCTGACCACATCATCCCTATAATCACATGGAGGAGAAAAATG